GGTGGGGGGACAGGGTAACTGGGTAACTGGGTGATGGGTATTGAGGAGGGCACGTGTGGTGATGAGCACTGGGTGTTGTTATAAGCGACTAAGGAATCGTTGAACACTACATCCAAAACTAATGATGTACTCTATGTTGGCTAATTGAACATAATACAAAAATACATAAAAAAATAATAGATAAAAAAATAAAATGTTTCTAGTTCAAAAAAAAAATGAATTCCCTCTTTATTTAATATCACCCATTTGTTTTTATGGCCCAAACTTCTTGGATTTTATCCTCATTCGCACCTTCACCCTTCCAGACTCTGAAAAAAATTTTAGGCTCACGTGTCTAACTACAAATGGAGGTTTGCTTCCCCCGGAGATTCTGATGTTATTTCCAAGGTTCAGCTGAGCTGGCTGGTCGTGAAAGCAGCGCCAGGGGGAAATGGGAGAGGGAGCACGGGACTGCATGCTTTGGGGCAGTCTGTTGAGATTACTCTCCTTTGGCGTCATCTTCATATTATTTATGGGGAGCTTGGGTCCATCTGTTGCAGATAAAGGCCTTCTTGACTTATTATATCTTTCTTCCTGAAACCAAAACAAGAAACACTGTTTTTAAAAATGGGAAATGGAGAAAAAAGAAAAATTCAATCAGAATATAACTATATTGAACTGAACTTTTTATTTAAGGAAGAAGACTGAACATCTCAGATTTGCCAAACATGAACTTAAAAAAGGGTATTCTCTCCTTAGTTTTTCTTCAGCTCAGCTTAACATCACTAGTAGTTATAACTCGCTGGCGTAATATATTTCAACCAGAAACAGTGAAAATTATTTGCAGTAGGAGAAAGTTGGAAGGTATCAGACACTCCTCCCTCATCATGATGATTGCTGGGGGGGCGAATCTGGCCCACATCCGGGTCCAGCAATTTTTCAAGGAATTTATTATAAGGAAATAATTATGTATGTGTATAGCTACATTCTTTTTCTTTTTAAAAAAAGATTTTATTTTATTTATTTGAGAGAGAGAACACTAGCAGGGGCAGAGGGAGAGGGAGAAGCAGGCTTCCCGCTGAGCAGGGAGCCCAATGCGGGACTGGATCCCAGGACCCTGAGATCATGACCTGAGCCAAAGGCAGATGCTTAACCAACTGAGCCACCCAGGCGCCCCAGCTACAGACATTCTTATAACCATTCAAAAAATGAGAAATCAGCTATACTGGTGAGTAAGCAGTTCCCACTCCGCTCCAAACCCACTTTGCTCTAATATTCAGCTTTAGGGTACTGGGGCAATCCCTTCTGCTCTTTTCAGCTGTTCAGTAGAGGCTCCACCACTAGGAGGCGCTAGAAGGAGGCTGCAAGCCGGGAGGAGGAAGCCAGGACTCCCACTCCCAGTTCTGCCTTCTATTCCCGACAGCGTCACCCCAGCAACCAGGCTTCACCTTGAGAGAGGCACACGGTGCCAGTGTATAGTTTTCCCCCCATAACCCCAGACCGAGCCTCACCGTGCCCCCCTCAGACCTCCCAGCACCAGCCAGCCAGAGTACCCCCGCCCCAGAGCTTTGAGTCCTGCCCCACAGGACCCGCCCTCCAAGCTCCAGAGGCACCAGCAGTGAGCACTGTCCCTCACAGAGGTCTGAGTCCCATTCATCAGAGCCCCGCCTCTGAACCCCAAAGGAAGCGCGCAGGCAAGCAGCCCCTCCCCACAGGTCTGGTCCCACCTGTGTGGGGTCTCTTCCTCAGGCTCCTACATCCATGATGTCCCCACCTCTTCCCCTGGTTCGCCAGCCCTAGGGATGGAAGCTGCTTCCTCTAGTTACTATGTCTGTCACTTCAGTGACCCTTTTACCCTTCAGTTCTTCAACCCCTGTTTGGCCTTTTTTTTAAAAAACATTTAATTAATTAAATCTTTTTACTAAAAGAACAGGTGTGGTTTGTTTCCCTGACTGGACTCTGACTACTGTCTCAGTGAAGTGCCCAACAACAGGAAAACCACTGACCAAATCATGGTACGTCCATACAACAGCTAGCTATGAAGCCGTGAAAAACTGCCTGGCGTAAGAATACTTAAGGATGTGAGAAACGGGGCGCCTGGGTGTCTCAGTCGGTTAAGCATCCGACTCTTGATTTTGGCTCAGGTCATGATTTCAGGGCTGTGAGATGGAGCCCCGCATCAGGCTCCACCCACAGTGTGGAGTCTGCTTGAGATTCTCTCTCTCCATCTCCTACTGCCCCTCCCCCTGCTCGTGCTCTCTTTCTCTCTCTAAAATAAATAAATAAATCTTAAAAAAGGATGTGAGAAACATGTCCATAGCATATTAAATGAAAAGATACAAAATTATATGCAGTATTGCATGATCCTAGTCTTTTAAAATTAAAAT